CTGGGGCCCAAGGAATGGGTACTGAGTTAAATTCTGAGGAAGAACATTGAAAGACAGTGGTGACTTTGTGAAATAAAATTCATATTTCATGGCAAGGCAAGAAAATTTAAACATAAAAATGCTTCCCTGCCCTTTGGTCCCCTGTCTCCCCGCACTGCGCATCGAGTGTCTGCATTACCGAGTGTCTGCGTTACGATTCGACCAGACCTCCCCCAGGGGCAGGAATACCTGCTCAACCGTCAAGAGCAACACGCTCCTAGCATCAACCAGACAACGCCTTAATAACATTCCTTCTTGATGTTGCAGGGGTCACATGACCCACCAGGATGATGCTTAGATCTGCATTAAGTAAACTGTTGATAATATCAATACATCACGTGATGTACAGCCCTCTGTCTCAAAAAGCTTATATAACCATGCCTTGACTTCTAACAGGCGGAACAGTTCTCAGAGGGTTCTGAGATGCTCTTCCCGGGTTATAATGCTCAAATTTGGATCGAATAAAATTTTCCAGTTCTTTTTTAGATCGACTGATTAATTTTCATCGACAATTTCCACTTTTCCTTCTGTGGGCACAGAGAGAGCGGTGAAGATCACGGAAAGGTTCTAAACTCGCCATTTCACTCAGTAGTTGTGTAACCTTATTTAACCAAACTCATTTTCTCATCTGCAAAATGAGATTGATAATCATAAAACCTACTTTAATAAATCAGTATGAGAATTACGTAAGTACACGGTAAGTACTCAAATTTTTTAAATTATGTTATTATTATTAAGAAAGAAGGATCGAAAGGTAAACGTTTTCTAGCCTCAATTTTGTGGTTTACCTGCTTCCAAGCATGAATCTCATTAACCCCCTGGCCACCCACCCACCCTATTTGTAGAAAGTCAGGAGAGGTGAGGTCCTCATCAATGCATCAGTGTCCTTCCCCATTTCTATGACTCGCATTAAGAAGGCACTGCCATTTTCTCCACACATCCAAGCCATCTAGAGCAGACTCCCACATCACGATTCCATTCCTTCTTCCCTTCCCCACCTCTGCTTCACACACACCTTCAAGCCCATGGATTTCCACCCAGATAAGCTTCCTGCATGCATCACAACTTTACCTCCCCTTTCCTCACCTCGGTTTCTTCCAGCTGGGTGCTGCCTTCCAATGCCATTATCCAGGAAAAGTCCCCACCCAGCAATGCACACGCTGAGCTAGGACTCCTAATTACTGCCCAGGGTCAAAGTCTCAGCTCCACTCAACCACTTACTAAATACTTTACTCTTCTTCCTGGGCTTAGCATCCCAATACCTAATCCCACAGATGCTTCCAGAGCCCTTGCCCAGCCTTGTTTTCGTGCAAATCTCTAGAGAAGCCTTTAATGGCCTCTAGAGCCCACAAGATAAATTTAAATCTACTTAGCAAAGAATGAAAGTCCTCCCTTTTCCCATTTCCCACCACCCTGTTCATGCTGGCCATGCAAAAACCAGCCTCAACCACCATGCTCCTTCCCTACATTTGTCTGCATATGCCTAACAGGTTCAGCCCTTACCTGTTGTTCTTCCACTTGGGCGATTCCTATATAACCCTAAAGATTCTCTTCAGACACTGCTCCCTCTGGTAGCTTCCCTGAGGTGGAACGACATCAGTGCAGCAGAAACATAGCCCTCAAACAGCACCACACACACACACACACAGGTGCTCCCCAAGAACAGGGACCGTGTCCTCCTCATCTTTGCACTCCCAGGGATAGCCAGCTCCTGCTTCACAGAAGGGAGGCTCCAGAACCTGTGTGCTTCATCCACTGCTCCTCTCGTTCTGTGTAGAAACAGCAGCATGCTCCGTCCTCTGGTTTTATTATGTTACCCGGCATCTTCTATCTCGCTGCCCATTTTCCATTTAATGCAGCAAATCTCTGGGCTAAGGGATCCTCCCAGTCCTCATGAGTTACATTCTGCCCTTGGCCAAACCCCCCTCAAAAAAAAACCCCACCATCATTCCAGCATCTTCAGCCATAGTTCTGAAATCAAATTCAATTTGACCTTCCCATTCCTAATTAACCCATGCTAGCTCCACAGCAGGGTAAAGTCAAATATTAACATCAAGAGGCAAAGTACTAGGCTGTCATTTTGAGCACATTTCTAATTAGCTCTGTGACCTTGGGCAAGAGGTAAAGTCGAGATGACAGGATCACCAGGCCCAATTCTCAGGGGACTTTTGAGACTCAAATGGAATATCTGATGGAAAACTTTTATAAAGTGCAAAGCACCGGACATTCATAAAGGATATGATCAACAAATTTTATCAACTCTTAACCCTCAAGGGTAAGATGTACCCTTATCAACTTAGAACGAAGCGCTGCTCAACTATGACACATCTGTGATCATAAGACAACCCAATTTCAGTGATATTAAAATGGGAAAAAGTGTACTTTTTATATGCCTCAATACATACAATGTACAATATATATGCCTCAATAAAATAAGGAACCTGCCGTAAAATACTCATCTTTGCCAATGGCACATAACAGACACTCAGTAATACACGTGGGGTAAATGAGCAACACCCCACCGATAATATTCTTAGGCCAGATTATGGCCTCTCTCACTGGAATGGGCAGCAGAAGGCCTCCCAATGCCAGTTCCTCTCCTCTCACTCATGTCCCAGCCTGCTCAGAACCCTCAAATGATCAAGTCATATCCATGCCTGGCATTTTTAAGGACCTTCATAATGAAGCCTCCTTTCCCATCTCCCACTGCCTGGAACTGACTGTCCACTGGCATATGTCACTCGAAGAAGGGTCCTACTCAGTCTGTCCCAATCATAGTAACCAGCTCCACAGCTGTTTCTCCTCCTTCTGTCAATCCCCAAAGCCGGCTCTAGGCCTGCCCGCTGCTTACAAGGAGCATGACCCTGGGCAGCTGCCTGACCCAAAGGCCCCAGGCGTGCACCCCTACCATTCAGACAGCTAACCCCGGCTACCTATCTCGCATCTAGAGTCTACACTCTAGACTCTGCAGGCCTGGGTGTTGGTGTTGGGAGACTGCCTTGCAAAAATTAAATGCAAGATACACGTTCTTGCACCTAGAGACTGTCACACAGAGTGAAGTAAGTCAGAAAGAGAAAAACAAATACCGTATATTAACGCATATATGTGGAACCTAGAAAAATGGTATAGGTGAACCGGTTTGCAGGGCAGAAATTGAGACAGATGTAGAGAACAAACGTATGGACACCAAGGGGGGAAAGCCACGGAGGGGTGGAGGTGGTGGTGTGATGAATTGGGCAATTGGGATGGACATGTATACACTGATGTGTATAAAATGGATGACTAATAAGAACCTGCTGTATATTAAAAAAATAAAAATAAAGTGTATTCTTATACTGAGATAAAAAAAAAAAATACACATTCTTCCTTTTGACTGAGCCTGGTGCAGGCAGAGACCCTGAAAGGAAGAAGGCTGGTCATGGGGTACAGAGAACCCTACTGGAAGTTCTGGCCTCCCACCGGCTACCATCATTCACTGTAGGCTTTAGAACTGGCACCCATCTTCTCTGGGCTTTTATTTATGTTTCCCTATCCGTAAGGGCAGGGAGGGTGAGGATGCAGGGGAGAGGAGAGTGTTAGCTGCTTTCTCTCCTTCCGCTTAAAGGCTTTCTTAAAATGCTCTTGTGCTGGGGGAGGAAAGCCATTGCCAAGTCAGTAACACCTTCGTGAGAATGAGTTCTATTGGTAAGCAAGCATTAGAAAAGGGGGAGGAGGTGGAAAGAGAGACGGGATTGGACACAAGGTTAAGCGAGTCTGGTCCTAGAAAAGCAGCTCAAACGTGAACCTACATTTTTGCATTTTGTGTTGAGGGCCAGCAGACATTGGATCACTGGGAAGGGAAGGGAAGCCACAAAGCTCTTTCAGCTCCCCCAGCACCTCAAAGTCCCAAAGACACCCCTCAGGCCCAATTCCACTGATTATCTCATCTCCTGTACCCATGCCTCCCAACCCTGTGCTCCCAGCACAGTAACAGTTAGAGCTCCATCCCCACTCTCCACATTTTGAAGCCTGGCTGGCTTCAGAAAACCCCCCATCCTTCCAAAGCCTCTGATGCTTCCTGAGGGACGAGGAAACCAAACTCTTCTCCGAGCCCCTTGAAATTTTACCCTTGCCTTTTCCCCAGCACTTAGCACCTTCAACCTTGGGTCACGTCTGGTTCCTCGGGTTTGACTGTACGCTCCCTGAGGGCAGAGTAAGGGCCCTAAATGCATCTGACCCAACAACCCGGCATGGCGCGGTCTCACAGTGGGCGCTGGAAAACTGCTTGGAGAAAAGGAACTAGGAGTCGGGAGCCATTTATTTTAATTATGGCTCAGCCTCTAGTGAGCGACTTTGGGGAGCCTCTCCTCCTCTCTGGGCCTCAGTTGCCCCAACTGGAAAATGGGGGAACTTGATGTGAGGGCTCCTAGGCCCCTTCCACTGTGACAACTGTGATTCCGCGAAAGCTCGGAGCTGCTGGGTGTGGCCCCGCCCCCTGGGAGCCCTGAAAAGCCCGGGCAGGGGGCGCGCAGGGAAGGCCTCCACCCGCGCCCAGCCCCCGGTCGACGCTTCCCAAAAAACAGGGGTCCCCCTCCCCCACGCGTGCACCCCATGATTACGCTGCGGCCGACACTTCCGCACCGCGGGCCCTGCGGCCCGGCCCGGCCCGGGCGCGCGCTCGGCGCCCCGCGCTCCTGCCACCCCGGAGGCGCTCGCGCTCGGGGAGGGCTGGGGGTTCCCGAGGCGCCCGCGGGCGGAGAGTGGGGGGAAGGAAGGAGGATTTGCAACAAATACCTCGGGGAGGAGGCGGCCGGGGCAGCGGCGGCGGCGGCGGCGGCTGGAGGCGGAGGCAGCGGAGAAGGAGGAGGTGCCCAGGCACTCCCCCTCCCATTGTCCCCAGGCCCGGCCCCGCGCCCCGCACCGCGCCCCGCGCCCCCGGCCGCGCAGCCAGCCCTTACCTTGCAGCGCCTGGCTCTCCCCCGCTCGCTAAAGCTACTTATCCCAGGAAAGCTCGCACGGGGCCCAGGAGCGAACCCACAGACAAAAAGTGAAACTTCGGCAGGGCTGGAGCGGCTGCTGGTTGGTGCCTTTCCCCCTCCTTCCTCCCCACCGTCCCCACCCCCTCCCCTCGGTCTCCCGTGCGGTGCCCTGAGAGCTGGAGGCTGACGTCAGGGGCCTGAATTCCTGACTTTGCCTGCACGCATTTGTCCATGTAAGGTATGGGAAGGCGGGTGCCCGCGGGGCCGCCGCGCCGCGCTGCGCTCGCCGCCGGGGGAGGGGGCGCCCGCCGCGGGCCGTGGCCTTGCCCCAAGGTGGGCGCGCTGACGACAGTTGATTTCCTGGGAGGAAGGGAAGACGCGGGGATGCGGGGAGACTGCAAAGGAGGAAGGGAAAGGGAGCTGTGGAGGTTTTGCCTGCACTGGAGGAAGAGGAAGGAGACGTAGAAGGAGGAAGCGGCCGGGGCGAGGGGCTGCCGAAAAAATGGGGGAACCTGCGTCCACTGTTAGGGCACCAGATTAGGGGGCTGAATCTGAGCAGACGAGATCCTGCCGTGGAATCCCCTTCAGAGATCTTCCTCGTGAGCCCCGCCCCGGATTCCCAGCGAGTTTCAGAGCCGGCCCAGACCAACTTCCAACCCGTCCACTTCACACATGGGAAAACTGGAGCTCTCGGAAGAGAAATGACTCCTGCAAGGTCATGCCCGCCACAGATCCAGGCGCGGGACCCGGATGCTCGGCCTCCCAGCTGTGTTCCTGTCTCCAGGCAGAGCCCTGACTCCCTCCTTCCCGCGGAGCAGTGAACCAGGCTAGATGTCAGCGGACAGCGAGGACCATCCTGGGAAGAGATTCAGAGCTTCCCTGGGCCCCGGAGGGAGTCAGTTCCTGGAATGTTCTAATTGCCAGTAGCCCTGGATAGCCAGGCCTATCAGTTGCTTCAAGGCAACTCCCTCTATCCGGTGCTCAAATAAACGAAACCCTGGAGTTCACTTCACAGCCCTGCCGGAAGCCCAGAAAGCTTATTCTGTGCTTACAGCTTCAAAAAAATCTGTGAACTGGGTGAAAGGCAAGCCTGTTCTTGGAAGGTTTGAGTGGGACTTCTTTTCCTCAGACGGTTGTAAATGTGAGCAACCAGGGGACCCACCAATAACTGTGTCAGGGGGTTAAAATGTTCAGCTGACATTGCCTGGAAGACACTCCAAGGCTGGAGACTGTTGCCTTGTATTTCTAATCCTACCGATGTCCTCACCTCAGCACATCATAAAAGCACTTTCTCACTGGTTTATTAGATCTTGTTAGGACAAATTATAGTCCATCGTTTACATCTGAGGTAAAAAGTCAGGTTAAATGACTTACCCAACACAAAATAAGCAACAGAGCAAGCACCTGAACCCACCTCCCCCCAGCCAGGTCACCTGACTAATCCCATGATTTTTGCACCCAACAAGGAGGCCCTGACCTCCTAATTTCTGTTAATGAATGTTGAGAGTACACCATGAGTTACTAATTCATGAAACCTCCAAAACTTGGTTCTTTGGGGATTTGGTGGGATTCTTTTTGACCAAGAATTAAACGGAGAAACACATTTCTGCACTTACCATTTATCGAGCATCTTCTTAGTGCAAAGTCTTTGAATCCAGACATTCTTGGGTCCAAATTACTCCATCTCTCTTGCTATCAGTTTCTCATGTACTCATACAAAAAATATGAAGATAGTAGTAGAGGTAAGGTCAAGGGTACCTATTCCATGCAATAATGAAATATTTTTGTCTTTGCAACTAATGTAGTTTGAAATAGGAAACATGAGCTCTTAAAGAGATTTTATTCTGGGGCTTTAAAAAATCCTTCTGTTACACCACAATTCACTTACTCTGTTCTCAACATTTCAGCAAACCCACATTCTGAGTGCTATTGTTTAACATGAAAAACTCCTGGTATCACACCAACTAAGAATAGATCCACCCATTCCCCATTGGACATAACGGGACTTGAGCAGTGCTGCTTTTTTTTTTCTTCCCCAGTAACCCACTCATAAAGAATAATAGGGTTCTAATGAGGATTAATAAGATTTAATAACGTATAATTAGCATTCATTTCCTTCATCATGCACATTGTAAGAGTGCAATGTTAGGGCTTCCCTGGTGGCGCAGTGGTTGAGAATCTGCCTGCCAATGCAGGGGACACGGGTTCGAGCCCTGGTCTGGGAAGATCCCACATGCCGCGGAGCAACTAGCCCCGTGAGCCACAATTACTGAGCCTGCGCATCTGGAGCCTGTGCTCCGCAACAAGAGAGGCCGCGATAGTGAGAGGCCCGCGCACCGCGATGAGGAGTGGCCCCCACTTGCCGCAACTAGAGAAAGCCCTCGCACGGAAACGAAGAGCCAACACAGCCATAAATAAATAAATAAAAATTTTTTTAAAAAGGCAAAATTCCTTTAAAAAAATTTTTAAAAAAAGAGTGCAGTGTTAGATCCAGAAATGCTCCTAATTATGTTGAAACTGTTGTATGAGTGTGTTGGGGAAGATCACTATGTCTCTCCTCCTGAAATATTTATGAATTGCTCAGGTGGGCCTAGAGTTAGCACAAGCATTATATAAAGTTAATCACAAAAGATCATTTCTGCTCAGGAGGCACTCACCAGGAGTGTAAGAGGCAAAGTCATAAATTGGATGCTTGGGCGAACCGCATGCAGTGTTGTCATCAGTGCAAACCCAAATCAAAAGCCTCCTCATTTGCTGATCTGGTTTCTTTTGTATTCACACTTTTCTCAACAACCCTATTAAAACCTGCTGCGTGCAGGGACTTGGGAAAGAAGGGAAGGCTGTGTAAATCTGCAGCCTCAATGCTAGAGAAATACAGGTTTACCAATTCAGAGACTAAAAGAAGCAGGGAATTTCAGGTGGGGCGGAGGGCATGTGACTGGAGGATTGCCAGTGATGACACCAAAGACTGAACAACACTAGGCTGTGTTCCCACCATTTGCTTGCATCCATGACAATCCCGTTCCCCAAGGCCTTTGTGTAGCTCTTGTCAGTCCTTTCTCTGTCCTCATATATGCCCAGCAATATTCTAAGGATTTTTCATCTGCATTTCACTTAACCCTCAGAAAACCCTTCTGAGGTTGGCATTATTATTTTCTCTAGCCCAAGGAGGTTAAGTAGCCTGCTCTTAACACAGAGCTAGTACCCGGTTAAACTGAGACGCCCCACTGAGCCCAGGCAGCCTGACTCTTCCCTTACCCACTGCTGAGTGGCCATCTGGTCTCACATTGAACATTCCAATGTGCAGAACTCATAATCTGCCTATGGCTGACCAAGAGGAAAAGATATGAAGAGGCTACTGGAGAAATAATAAGAACAGGGACCCTGAAGATGGAAGGTAAATACCAACCCTATGTGGCCTCTCCCCAGCCTGAAACCCATCAGGCCAAACTCCTCAGTGTAGTTTGCATAGCTCTTCAGCCTCGTGTCTGCCAGTCCTGAACCCTCCAGCCAATTGGAGGTCTGGTGGTTTCTCAAACACCTTAACTGACCCTGCTTCTCTGCCTTTATACGGGTTCTTCTTTCTCCCGGGCACTCTCTTTCTTCTCCGTACACCTGGCAACCCTTACCTAGCTTCTTCAGACTCGCCTTAAATATCACGTCCTCTAAGAGGCCTTTTTGCCCCTCCCGCCACCTCCAGTGGATGCATTGCCCCTACAGAGTGATGGGAGCACTGTGCTTACCCTCAGTCCCTGCGACTCTGCATGATGTCACTGGTCACCTTGTCTTTCTCAGCTACTGGGCTGAGCGTGCAATTTGTCTCTGAGTCTCTGACAAAGTGCCTGCCGTTGTCAATGTAGGCATTCAACTGTTGTGTTCTGTTTTTTTCCTTCTTGTTCCTGGTCAAAGGAAGAGGAAGATGCAGAAGGTAAAAGGCCTGGGCATTTAAATAAAATCAGATAACTTCCTCAAGAGATGAAGACTGGATGTAAGCAGACCAATGGGAAGGAAGAGGAAGAATCAACAGAGCCTGGCCACTTGGAAACAGAAGCAGGATGGGCATGGGGAGGCAAAGGAGAGGAAGGTTTGTAGTCCTTTGCTTGTCCTAAAACTGCTCTGTAACCTCATGGCAAGTCACTTCCTCTTTGGTCTCGGTTTCTTCATCCACACAGTTAGGTTCTCAGACTTTATGCTCTCCAACACTCTCTTCAATTTGAGGCTACTTTCAACCTGTTGACCAAATTCATCTTCCCAGAGCATAGCATGCCGCATTATACTCTGAACTTGTAAAGGTTCCATGATATCAACCACATTAAGTCCAAACTCCTCAACTGCCCCTCCCTGGTTCCATGATCAGCTTTTTCCAACTGTAGACTGTACCTCCAACCCTCCACCATCACCACCACCACACACACACACACACACACACACACACACACACACACACACACAC